GCCTTCTCTCAGGGCCATCTCTGCCTGCTCCTGGCTCTACCTCTCACTGACAGCTGCCGTTTCTCACCTACAGATTCCCTCCCTTTGCCTGTGCCCATCCACTTGTCTTTTCTATTAAAGAAACTACTAGCCCTCCCGCTGCCCAGCCCCTGGCCCTCTCACCTGCTTGCACTAGGGAACTCCTTAGCACCCAGCATTTCTTCGGTTCCCCTTAGCTTCCTGCCATCTGATTCCCATCTCCTTCATCTCACCTCCCCACTGAACAGACATTTTCTCCTTAAAGGTCACCAGTTGCGATAACATCATGACCACCATAATAATCACAGCATTTCTTGAGTGCTTCCCCTGTTTGGGTTGGGGGAAGCATTTTACTTGCCCTATGGGTAGGTAACACCCATTTATTTGTAAATAAGGAAACTGAAGCCCTAGGGGCAAGTCTCTTACGAAGCAAAAGCCACTCAGATGGCTGGCAGCCATCAATGGCAGGGTAGAGACTTGGATGGTGCCTGTGGAGCTCTTGCTGTTAAACACCGAGCCCTCTCTCAGCCAAGCTCTGCGAGACTTTGCCAGCCCTCAGCTTCCTCCCCGAGGACAGCCTGCAGGGAGCAGTTTTCCATCAAGTTTCTGTGGCTCAGTCTGCGTTCTTCTCCACCCTCAGCCTTCCCGCAATGCCTCCTAAGGTTATGATTCCACCCCCAGCTTCAACTCTGACCTGGGTGGTAACTTATAACTCGGGCTGCATCAGCCTGTGGGTCTCATCTCTGGAACCAGCCCTGTCTCCATAGGCCCAGGGCAGTTCAGCTCTTCTCCAGCGGGGGCACCGCAGCCCTGGAAAGCTACCAGCTTGGAAGGGGGAAGATTGAGCTCACTTACCCTATCTGTCCTCTCTGGTGGGGTGGCCTTCGGAGAAAGGCGTGTCCTTGTTGAGCCATAATAACTATGATTGCTTATAATCATGTTACTCATTGTATTAAATAAATAGGTTTGCGCACCTGCTATGTGTCTGTCCTACTCTAGGCTCTGGGGATTCAGCATGAACGAAATGAATGAAACAGCCTGTAGCCACATGCAACTTAAGTTCTAATAAGGTGCACGCCTTACTTCAAGCTGTTCCTTCCATCTGACATTATTTATGGAAATATTTAGTAAGTATTTATGTAGTGTACATTATACAGGGTGGGGCAACAGTAAGTTTAGAGTTGTTCCTATGGGAAATAATACAATAATTCATAACTAATAAGACAAGAATAATCGGTGTTTTGCATACTCACAACCGTAAACCTACTTTTGCCCCACCTTGTAGCCAGGCCCATAAATAAAAAAAATAGTGATTTCGGTGAGCTCCGTGTGGAAAGGAGGGTGAGACGCCCAGGCACAGAGGAGAGAGGTGATGCGATCCCAGGTGCTGGTTGATTAGAGTCTGTCCTCCGCTCTCCTGACCCGAGCACTGGTGAGCCTCCAGGTTCTCAGATGCATCTCTGTCCCCCAAAGGCCTCCAATGACCGGATGGCCACCAGGTGGACAGCGCAGGTCAGGTCTTCACAGGTGGCGTCTTCGGACACCTCTGTGGTTCTCTCTGCTCTCCCACGAGGGCCGGTCCTCAGCCTGTCCTGAGCCTGCGCAGCCTGTTGCTGCTCCAGGGCTGAGCTGGAGGGGTTGTAACAGTGTGTGGGTGATGCCACAGGTTAAAGAGGGAGGGACTGACAGATGCTTGGGGACAACAGGAGACAAGGCTGCAGACTGTCCTCAGCCCCTTTCCCCCTCACTCTGCACCTGCAGAGCTGTTCTGCATGGAGGCCCGTTCCTGGCGTGCTAATGGTCACAGTGGCCCATGTGCAGAGATGACTTTGCTCTTCAGCAGTTTATTTCTTCCTCTTAGCACAGAGGTTCTCAACCTTCCTAATGCCACGATCCTGTAATACAGTTCCTCATGGTGTCGTGACCCCCAACCATAAAATTATTTTCGTTGCTACTTCATAACT